GTGAAGATTCATAGTAGGCACTTCAGTTTCTGGAACACAAGACATGTTCACGATTCCTGTGTCTGTAGATATGAGCGCAGGACGTGCTCTATGTTTCGCCCTTTTGTTCCCTGTACGAATCATCTCTGCAAAACAGATTTACCAACATGGTTAGATTGAAAAAGAAAAAGATTAATTAACAGCAAAGACCCTGCTCAGAAAACAGACATGTAAAAACAAAGGGTCTGGAACAACCGGACCCAGGCCGAGATGAATCACAAAAGGCTGTAGATCCCTAGTTGAGAGAGATTAACTTACCGACGACAGTTCTTGAGCGCAGTTCTTCAATCTCCGATCAACACTTTGCTGGCGGCAGTTCTTGAGTCTACAGAGATGGATGAAGCAGAGAATATATGTGGGATTGATTGCATAGAGATTTGAGGGTATCGTTTTAATCGAAACTGTGGGAGATTTGGGTGTATCTTATTCATTTCGAAAGGAAAGCTAGAGAAAGTCGGATTTTTGCCGCCAAACAATTGATAAACGAAGAGGAAAAGGGTATTGAAAAGAATCGCGCAAGGGAAAAGCTGAGGGTTTGAGAAAGCGGCCAATTTCAAATTTTTAGCCCGCAAACTTTTGGCTAAAAGGCCCGCCAGTCAATTGAGAAAGCGGCTGAGAGGGTTGTAATTTGTTTTGGTAATTTCAATTTGCATTTTTTTAAGAGTAAATACAATATATTAGCCACAACTATTATGAAGCGGGGAATTATAGCCATAACTATGGAAATTCAAATTATTAGCCAAACGTTAACTATCTGTTAACAATTCCAGTTAGTAAAACTAACTAAACTTTTATGTTTTAAAGTTATAAATTAAAAGCATTCCGACGTGGCCGCTGCCGCGGCCGATGACGTGGCCTTCTCCGTAAAAAATTTGATAACAGTAACGGACAGTTAGTCATATCTTGACCCGCAACAATAGTTATAGCTAATAATTTGAATTTTCATAGTTGTGGATATAATTCCCCGTTTCATAATAGTTGTGGCTAATATATTGTATTTACCCTTTTTTTAATTAATTTCAATTTTCTTTTGATCCTTGCAAGGTCAATCAGTTTAGTCCGGATTAACCCGTATATCTGAGAAAAGTTATTATTTCCATATATAAATCCCTGGCTTAGACACAAGAAAATAGCCTCGCGGAGCACAAGCAGTTCAACAATCATAGGACCATCAATCTCCGGAAATTGCACTCCTTTTGCCAAGAGGACTTCCCCACCTTGGTTTAGAATAATCATCCCTCCCGCCGAATGGGATCCACTTATAGTTGCCCCACCCATATGTAGACTATAGAGCTCGGATGCACAACATCCAAAGGCTTAGTTAGTGGGATGGAAACTTGGCGACCACGATCAACTGGCAAATTAACCACTCCTGGTATTGCTGGTTGAAGTGTCGGATTAGAACTGGAATGCCAAACTATTTGCTCTAAAAAATAACCCATTTTCGTGATCTCAAAATCCTCCAAAGGATCGAAACAATCGCCATAAACAGTTGAGGTTGATTAATGAGTAGCATCAACTTCTCACAAACATCGTACTTCTCATAACCAAGGCCTAAATAAAAAATATACTTACGAGCACTGTTGAACGAATCATACAAGTTAACCTTGCCATCGGGAATTATATGACCCTCAAAGTGCCAAGTAAGTCATCGAATGACTTATTAGTCGACTTGTGAATACTTTTAAGATGAAGTAGTTTCACAATCGTCTATAGTTTAGTGTACTCACAGTATGGATACAATTTTTCCAGGGGCGGACCCAGGGGGTTTTAGGAGTGTCCTCGGACACCCCTAAATTTCGGGAAAATGATTATCCAACCCCCGGTGGTAATTTACGTATAGACAAAAAATATATATAATTAATAGTGAGGGACACCCCTGAAATTTGAAAAAATGATTATCCTACTGTCATTTGTGTGTAAAAATATAAATGGTAGGTTGGGTAATTCAAATCTAGAACACTATTATTATTAATAAACTTAATTTCCGTTGAGCTACAACTCATTTGTTGTTCGATTTTGAACAATGTGTAATAGTAAAAAGTCATTCCCTATCTCTAATTATTTCAATCTAAACTAATTTCAATCTAGCCTTAATTAGTATTGATTTTATGATTGTACGGCAAATGTTGAAGAGTCTTTCAGCTTTGGGTTACATCAAGAACAAGTTTACAAATCGAATATGCGGTAAGTTTCTGAATGATTGTCTAGTAGGGTATATAGAGAATTTTCTTTTAACACTATAAACACCAAGTGTATTCTACAATTATTTTCGAATATGAAAACACATCATGGACTTTTTTAACCTGTACGAGTAAGGTATTTTCCTATTTACGATTTTATTTTTATTAATTATTTTTATTTTTATTTAATTTATTTTTTAAAAGAGGACACCCCTATGGAAAAATTTTGGGTCCGCCACTGAATTTTTCCTTAGCCTCTTGCAACAAGTGATAGAAGGTAGCCGCTTGATTAGGCTCTTCTTCAGACTCTTTTGCGTGAATCCTCAAATCTTCTTTTTTGCCTCTCATGTCATACAAGTCACCTACCAATCCTTCCATATCATCAAGAGTATCTTCAAGCATATGGTCCTCATCCAGTTCTTGGCTACTCGTCAACTCCTGAGTATTACCACTGGTACCTTCTCCATGGAATTTCCAAGTTGTATAATTCTCCAAAATTCCATTTTTTAGCAGATGAAATCAAACCTCATAACAACCTTTATATAATGCATTTCTACACTTTGTACAAGAACAACGAATGATTTTTTTGTTGGCACGGTGAGAAAACGCATATTCAATGACATAATTTACGTCTTCCCTGAATCTCGATTCTCTCTTGTTCTGTACTCATCCATTCTTTGTTTGGAATCATTTTATGTAAAAAGATACATTAAGTATGAATTATTAGAAAAAAACATTAACCGTAAAAAAGAATAAAAATATTTAAAAATAATGACAGACAAAAAATAAAAATAAAAATATTTGACTTTCAAGAATTAACAAAATAATTATGAAGAGCATATCGTAGAGAAGCAATTGCTTGAGTATGATATGAAACAAATTCTAATATTTAAAACTCCGTCAAGAAAAGTAACTCAAAACTGTAACCCAATTTAGAGCACCAAGATTCAACGAAAAGAAGAAAACAAAAATTAGAGCATCAAAGAGAACAATATCTAAAAAATATATATATATATATATTGCAGACTTTTCAACGGATATCTCACACCATGACTACATCCCTATTTATAATATCTTCTTACCAATCTAAAAACAAAAAGGAAAAGGAATACTCGGACCAATAAGAACTTACTACTACAAAAAGCAAGGGAACCGAAATACTATTACAAATTGAACAAAATAAATTAAGTGAAAGAGAAGTAGAGGTGGCAATGAAGATCCAAATCCATGAATCCAATCCAATCAATCCACCAAATTATTCACCTAATCCAATCCATTTAAATCCAATTTATTTGATCCAAATCCAACTGGATTGGTGGATTCATGGATCAATCCATGGATCTAAATGGCAAATTACAATTTGGTACCTATATTATTTATATTTTACAATTTGGTACCTAAAATTTATTTTTTTATATGAAAAATATCATTGGAAAATTACATTTTGGTACCTAAAATTTTTCATTATGACATTTTAGTGCCTAAACTTTTCAAAATTTACATTTTGGTCCAAGCCTTGGATGTTATTTGGATTCATGGATCAATCCACCAATCCATTGGATCCAATCCATAAATTCACCAATCCATTGGATCCAATCCATTTGATCAATGGATCCACGAATCCACGAATTCGATCCAATTGCCACCTCTAAAGAGAAGTATGGATGCGGAAGGTTTTTTTTCTTCCTTTAGAATTACTTGTCCCCTTTTTATGAAAAATGTGGAATAGTATTTAAAAACATTGTGCAAGAAAAAACAACACAAGAAATTTCCAACTTTCAAGAGGGAAACGAAAATTGAAGAGAGCATACCTTAGAGAAGCAATTTCTAGGGTAATTATAATCCCAAACTTAAGAAACAACTACAAACTATAACCCGTTGCTTTAGTAATTATAAGTTTATAACCCAAATTAAAGCATCCATCACAAACAAAATTTGACACGCATAAATTATTATGCAAGTCTTTATCCGGATATCATAAACGAATTCCAAAGTGAATTTGCTTCACCAGAGTAGCCGTCCCCCCTTATTTATAAACTACCCTAATTACTAATCAAAGAAGGAAAAGGAATACACAGACCACACTAATTAGTAATAATAACAACTGATTCGGTCAAATAAAAAAGTAAAGGCAATACCAAGCAAACGAGGATTGGGACAGAAAACATATATAAAAAAAATAAAATAAAAAATGAAGCCCAAGAGATACGTACGTACAGGAAGGTTTTTTTGTCTTTCCTTTTCCATTGGGAACTCTTTCCATTGGCCCATGGGCGCTCAACCTAGCATTTTCATTCTCCATTGTTTCGGACCCGCACCGCATACACAATTTCTCTGGGGACGATTTTGAGGGGACCCAAACTCTGCTAATTATCATATGGGGACAACTATAGCATGGGCGTCCCTTATTTAACTTAAGTTATATTTCCGGTGACCAAAAAAAGTAATTGTCCCTTATACTGGTCCCTATAACTCATTAATTTTGTAGTGATTATTATACCCATGCCATGCGTAGTTTGGCGTAGAGTACTAATTCCACTTTGGGTGACAATTAACCCTTATATATTTTGCGTAGGCTAATTCCAATTTGGGTGACAATTAATTATTATACCCAGTTATAGACCCGTACGAGAATATGATGTTTAGTATGAAGGAGACAGGTGAAAAGTAGCCTACATAAAAAAAGCCATGCATGCATCTTCTCTTCGCCCACCCGGGACTTGTTCAAGCCATGCATCTTTAATTTATTAGATGTCAGTGTACCGGTGGCTCTATAAATGAATCCCCAGCAGATATCTTAAGCCATATCGAATTCTCCAAATCACATCTCCTGACAAAATGGCACTTATATATATTCTCCTCCTCCCAATCTCCATCACCATCCTGGTCGCATTCACCGTTTCACGATTTCTCACCACCTCTGCAGCTTCCAAACACCGCTCACCGCCGCTGCCTCCAGGCCCTAAGCCATGGCCCATCATCGGAAACCTCCCTCACCTCGGCAAGCAAGCTCACATCTCCCTCCAACACTTCTCCCAGCTGTACGGCTCTCTCATCTCCCTCCGCCTCGGCTCCCAGCTCCTCGTCGTCGCCTCTTCCCCCGCGGCAGCCGCCGAAATCTTGAGAACCCACGACCGCCTGCTCTCCTCTAGATACGTCTCCACAGGCCTGCCATACGACATGATGGAGCTCGACCGCAAGGCCATTGTTTGGGCTTCCAACTGCAGCAACGACCAGTGGAAGGCCTTCCGAGCAATGTTCAGGAACCAGATCTTCTCGACCAAGGCCATCGAATCTCAGGCCGCCGCCAGGGAGAGGAAAGCTGCCGAGATGGTGAGATTTCTCGAGGGGAAGTTGGGGGAGTCGGTTAGTATCGGCCAAGTGGTTTTCGCTGCTATATTTGACTCGCTGTCGAATCTCATGTTGTCGCGAGATTGCATAGGGTTCGAGAGTAGCGAGACAGCCAATCGATTGAAGTCACTGATTTGGAGGATGATGGAATTGGGGACTTCTCCTAATCTCGCCGAATTCTTTCCAATTCTGAAGAAATGGGATCCCCAGGGGCTGAGACGTGAGACGTTTCGTTGTTGCAATGAGCTCTACTCCGTTTGGCAGCCCTACGTCAAAGAGAGGCGAGAGCGTCGGCAGGGAGAGCGATATGGTGCTCAAGACTTCTTGGATATTTTCCTGGAAAATGGACTCGATGATGATCAGATTGACTGGTTGAGTCTCGTAAGTTCACAAGGAAAAAGAAAGAAAAAAATTTCAATCCAATTTTGTGCTTAGCGACAAGAACTAGTTAGTCCCAACAACTCACTACCCGAAAATCAACCTACGCTTAATATTGGGAGTCGTGCAGATTTGAACAAATGACATTTTGGTCAAACTAACTCTGATACCATGTCCAGAAGCACTTAGTCTCAATAACTCGAGTTGTTGGGAGAAGGTTATTCTAGATCTTATACCACTCTCTTACAAGCTTGAGTTTAGCTTTTCCCATTGGTTTTCTTGCAGGAACTGTTCATGGCCGGTACAGACACTAACACGACTGCAATAGAATGGGCCATGACAGAGTTGATTCGAAACAAGGGAGCGATGAACAAGCTGCGGGAGGAGCTCAACGCAGAATTGTCGTCGCCGCTCGAGAGAAAACTGCCGCTCGATGAATCTGTAGTTTCTCGACTTCCGTACTTGAATGCAATCGTGAAGGAGACACTGAGGCTACACCCGTCGGGGCCGCTCATGCTGCCGCACCGCGCATCGGAGACTTGCGAGGTGATGAATTTCACGGTCCCTAAAGGAGCTAAGATTTTGGTCAACGTGTGGGCAATTTCAAGGGATCCAACAGTATGGGAGGATGATCCAACGTCGTTCAAGCCGGAGAGGTTTATTGGGTCGAAGGTGGATTTTAGAGGGCATGATTTTGAGTTTCTGCCATTTGGTGCTGGGAGGAGGATGTGTCCCGGAGTGCCGTTGGCCACCAGACAGATTTCGTTGATTTTGGCTGCTTTCGTTCGAAACTTCGATTGGTGCCTCCCCGATGGAAAAGATCCAGCGGAGCTGGATATGAGTGAGAAGTTTGGGTTCACGTTGCAAAAGGAACAACCTCTGCTTCTTGTTCCCAACCGGTATTCATTATGAGATCTTTAATTAATATTAGTTTGGGTGCTACGAGTCATTCCATGTAGTTACCAAAAGAGAGTCCATATATGAAACTAATCACGAGGCAGGCTCGTGAGAATATGTTTGTATGTTATCAGCCAGATGAACGTCGAAATGCCCTTAACATGAAGTTTATTAAGTATGACATACTAATAGACTTTAATATATGCATTGATGAAAAGTTGAATTTTCGACATTGTGTAAAGCTTTTTAATTATCAGATTAGACAATTCGTTGCATATAAACGGTCCTATCCTTGGAAAAACAAAATGACAAATCAAGCTAACTTCGTCGTGTACTTAGGCTGGTGTTGGTTGTAACTATACTGTGTACCTCTATAAACGAAGCAAAGTACGATAGCATTGTTTGCTACTGTAAATCAGGCCGGCTCTTAATTATTGAAGCTGGACGACAAGTGACGTCGGGTAATACTATTATCAGGTCAAATTTTGCTACTTACCTCATAGTTCACCCCCTTCTCGTCCCCATCCATATTCACGAGTGAAGTGTGTTTGTTTTTGCCGTATCAACTTTCACTACAAGAAAGCACAGGTATAGCGACGTCCACTTGGTGACATTTGGGCTAGCCGTCGTCAATTGTTGAATTTCAACGCCGAAGTTCCGCCCTTCAATTAGCCGTCGCCAAAATTAATGTCCATGCATGCTTAATGGACTAGACACTGTTTATTCCCATTTCCCATAATATCTTATTCAAAATTAAAATAATACATTTTATATATGAAATAAATAAGAAACAAAAGGTATTATCTCGTTCTCATCATCGTCTCTCTCTTCTCTCTCCTCTCTCCTCTCGTCCCGATGCTCTGCTTTCCTTTCGAGATCCCCAAATTTGGAACCCTAGAAATTTCGTTGAAGCCCAAATTCAAGCCTTTTGGTTCCTTATCAACGCTTCCCCGGCCACTTCATCGTAAAGGACGGAGGCCTCGAAGGCATCGTAGTGGACTCTGGCGGTGTCCTCCTCACAGCGTCGAGGGTAAGCTGCAGGAGCCCGCTGTCGGCCGAGTGGTTGTCGGTGATGAATGCGGAAGCGAGCATGACTTTAGGCGTCGATTCTAGAGGATAGAGTTCCTCGCAATCTGTGATTGCAACCTTTCTGACCGCTTACTTTAGTGGCGAGTCCTGAGTGTTTGACGTATTTCTTGTCGAAATTCACCCGGCGGCGAGATCAGGAAGGAGATTCTATTCGACAGCGCTGCTAGTGTGGTTGTAGGGAAGAGGATGATGATCAGCAAACTTACACAGCATAAGTTCTACAATAGACAAAGCTGCAATCAGGATGGGGATTCTATTTCCTTGGGCGGGGGCTTAAGGCCCTGATGACAGCTCGTTCGGTGTGAAGCCGATTCTTTCTGCTGCAGTTGGGGTACCTTCACTGTTCGATACATAGTTAAGTATTCATCATTATTAGTTGCCATAAAATTAGAAGATATTACTTCCCGCATTCATGTTTTAGTTTGCCAGATGACGAACCATCTACTTTCTTTTCGTTGCTTTACATCTGCAGAGTATTTCTTAGGGGCTACCTCCTAGAAAATACACTTGTATGCTCAAGGAAGAGGCGAATGAAAACCTTGATTTTCAGTCCCTATGTTGATTTCATCGATTTCTCGGCAAGGTATATAGATTTTCTGTTGTAGGTGAATATCCTGGATTTATTAATTCTCTTGAAGTATCAGGCTTCTTGGTTTTAAATATAGAGATCATGGTGACAATAGAAAGCAAGGTCCTCATTATGCTGCATGTTTATACAATGTGTCTATGTGTTTTTGTTCTTACATTCCCTTTGATCTCTTCTCTCATTTGTATACTATCAATTGTAGTGGCAGAGGAACAAAAGGATGCTGGTAAGTTCACTAGAATGATTCAGTGTGGTTGGTCCTATTGTGTTTTTTTGTTGTTGTTGTAACAAGCTGACGTTGCATAAGAAATCTTGAATAAGTAGCGAGACCCGTCTGGAATCTGTATTCTCATTCCCAACATAACTTATTGGTGAAGTCCAAACTGGTGTTTAGTTTACTTTCATCATTTATTGCCTCAAGCTATCTCACTGTCTCCTCTTCTCCTGGCATAGTAAAATATTGCCCTTATGCTACTTCTAGTTAATATCGGGTCTTATTGACAGATTGGTTATGGAAGTTTGAACTAACTATGTTCTTGTTTGTTCATATAAGATAACAGTCGTTATTCCTTCTAAGTGCTTCTGCAATTTTGTTGCCCTAACCTACGAAATAACATTACTTTGCAAAGGGTTAGAGTTCTTATTTGTAGTTGCATAGTTGCATTGTTTGAACTAACTATGTTCTTGTTTGATCATTTTTTAAGGTTTCTATTAAGCTCCTGTGGAATTGCTCTGGCTGGAAACTCGATCTTCCTCCAATGTGGAAGGATCTAAGGAAGGGTTCAGATCTCGTGGACGGAAAAGCGAGACTCTGTATCCATCATCTCCTTCATCACCATCAACAAGTTGCTCAGGTGAAGCCTCAGTCCTCTCTTGTTCCTCAGTCTTCTCTTGGCTCAAATGTGCTTCTTTGTCATTGTCAAATACGGAAACACAAGTAAATTGTAAAATGGAAATTTATTCTAACAAGTTACAACCCTGCTCAACAGATTGAGACTGAATTCTACGAAATTCATGATGGGCGAGCAAACCAACTGTTTCAAAGCACTTGAATGTCATAGATGATCTGGACATAGAACTAAATGAGCAGTATATGGGTTTTAAGGTAAATATATAGTATTATGTGCTTTCTATATGTTTGGATTTCATACAAGCTATGTTTTTAGCATTTTCCGCTTCTGTTTTACAATGTATTTTGGAACTTGATTTCATTTCATTCATGTTTTGTACTGCATATACATGTTGAATATAAGACCTCCAGCAAACTTGACGTGACCAAATAGGGGTTGAGCTTATCCTTAGCTTTGGAGAGCAACGCTTAGGGTCATCATTGGAACATTTTATTCAACTTTCTCTCTCTCCCTCCCCCATCTCTTTCTCTCTCTCTCTTTATATATATATATATATGTGGTAGTTAATAAGCTATCTATAGGTAGTGGTAGTAGAAAGTTTGCTTGGTTCTGATGGATTGAATTGAGTCTTCATTTGTTTTGTGATTCTTTAGCTGCTAATTCAATGCAAAAAGATGCAGCCTTGAAAAAATAAGGACAACACCCGAATATGCTACCCGAGCTGTGTGTTTCCTTATTAAATGTTATGCTTCCCGAGCTGCTAGTGATGGGTAATATGAAGTCGATTTTGTTTTGAAAAGTGGAGATATATGCTTCCTTATCTTACCTTTAACCTAATGATGCATGTCACCCTCCATTCGTTTGCTTTTGACTTGGTTATCTACTCTCCATTCGGCCTCTGACTTGGTTATCTTCTTGAATTGAAATTGTTTTGGTTTTGAAGAAATCGTAGGACTTTCAGCCTAAGAAGAATGCTCAAACTGGGAGCAAGGTTTATGGAAGAGACTGTTCTCCAATGGAGGTATTTTCGTTTCCAGACAGTGGTTATGATGTTTGATTGAACTGAGGATTATTATGTCTTTGATGTTGGGTTTTGACACTGTGTCTCTCTTGTATTGTTTTTTTATGAAAGGGGTTGGAGGTCTTCATATAGAGATGTGTTGTTGAAAGTGAGGAAGAAGTTAAGTGTTTCTTCATCTGGTCAACAATTTTGCAAGGTATGCATGTCCTATTCAAGGAATCCATATAGTGTGTAGAGAATTAATGCATATATATTTTTCTTTTTGTCTTTTTGAGTAGAGAATTGAGGAATTATGTGTTGGACCCCATATATTGTGTTTGCTGCTTAATATGTTATCATCATCATCTGGATGGCTATCATTAGGATTTAAACAACAACCAGCCTCGCCCGGTGAAGCATTATTCCACTAGCGAAATCTTGGGAAGTAACTAGAACAGGCTAGAAAGCTAAATTGTTGAACTTTATTTTCATGAACTTACAGTAGTTTGGTACAATAACTTTAGATTGATTCTGGATAAATAGTGGTACTTTTTCCACTCTTATGACTGATTAGCTCACGATCTTGCTAGCCATGTACCATATACTCTGCTTGGCCATCTTATGCCTTACAAATTGAACTCTGACTCTTAGTCCTGTAAATAATCTAGGCATTTCTTTTCTTTCTTTTATCTTGTTTATATTTTCAGTGCTCTTTTGACTCCACTGCTCAGTGCTCAGCATTCTGCCCACTCTTCGACTGGCGGTCCGAGACAACAGAGGTAGCACTCTTTAAAAGATACTACTTGGTGCAATTTGCAGAATGCATTTTCAGATTAATAAGTCATCTAAAGGCTTTCCATTGTTGCCATCTGAAATTTTTGATCCCATTGCCTGCATATCCTGCATTCTGATTTTCTGATTTGTTAATCATAATGAGCTATGAGAACTTAGTTTAAATGATTTATATTGTTGATTATGCAGGGCTGCAAGTTAATGACGAAAGGTGATCTTTGTTGCTTCAAAGGCATCTGACTTGATTTGGAGGTATAAGGAGCTAATAGGGACTGTAGGTGGGAATTTTGCACTTTTGTAAGTAGTTTAAATGAGTAGTAAACTTTAGATTATAGGTTTTGAACTTTTGTTAGTGGTTTGACTAGATTTGATTCTTCCAGAATTGAAGGATTGATGGTTGATATTTTTTATATGGTAATTTAGAGCAGGTAGATTTGTATTTTGTATATTTGTGATTTGTTATTCAGAAAATCACTGCAGGCTTCCTATGAAGAAAAAAAATCAAAGCAGGCTGTATTCCTAAAGCAGGTGGTTCTTTAAAAGGCTGTATCTTTTAGCGACGACTATTTCTTTTAGCGACGGTCAGATCTGTCACTAAATAATTTAATTAATTTATGAAATAGGTGTTTAACGACAGTTGTCCGAAAGATTGCGTCGGGTTTGTACCGTCACTAAAATTACCCACGGCCAATGCGACGGTCGACCAAACCGTCACTAAAAAATTTAAGGACTGCCGAGTCAGCGACGGTTTGCTGTCCGTCATTAAATATTTTAGCGACGGTTCTGTCCGTCATTAAAAGGGTATGACCGTCGCTAAATCACTGTTTTGTTGTAGTGTTTATATAACTTAGTGTCCGGTCCGGTTAAATTGGACCAAATTGATCCGGTCCCATTCCGGTATTTTGGAAAATATAAAGACCAAAGATTGGATTGGATACAGTTCCGTCTTGATCCGGTCCGGTCTTGACTCAGTCTGGTCCTAATTTGATCTTGATTTTAGGTGTTGGGGGTCTCTTATCCGGTCTTTAGCTAGGTTTTTTTTACCTCAAATCTAAACCCGAATATGATATTGGATTGTTTGCTATCCGGTCCCAGTTCGGGTTATACGGTCCGGTTTCGAATAAAATCAAACAATCCGGACCAAATAACCAGCACTAGTACTAGGTTAGTATCTAAATGGTATATGATCCATTGCTAAAACTCAAGAAACAAAAGGAAAAGACTCGACGATTTACTTGGTATACTCATTCATAAGAACGGGACTAATTCATGGAAAACCCCCTCAAGGAGTCTTCGGCTAGAATAATATTATTAGGGTTCTTGGGAATTTCCACATACACTCACAGCCAACACGGCTTACACCAAACATATATATATACTAGATAGTGATGTCGCGTCTTGTCGCGGGTGGAGATGACCGATTTGCATGTATTATGTGGTCCGTTATGATATTTTATTAGTATTATTAGGCTAACATTAATTTTTTGTTAGCAGTTTTGTTAGTAATATTGATTTGACAATATGATATTGACTAAGAATATATATATGGTGGTCAACATCCAATTTAAAGATTTTTGAAAATTTTGGCTAGTAAATGATATTTACCAAAACCCAAGTAGACCCATTGATTATTATAGGTAGGGTATGTGTGACGTATATATGAGTTTGAAAGTTTGTAGATGGGTTTAGGTAGGGTATGGATATTTACTTGCATAATCTAATTTTGTATGAGTTAGGTATGGATACCCATTTATTCGAGGGTGTTTTAATTACACATACAAAAATTATACCTCAGAACTTCAAAAGTTTAGGTACCAAAATGTAATACACAAAAAATTTAGGTACTAAAATGTATTGTTTCATCAATATTTTGAGGACTTATATGTCACAAAGATAAATTTAGGTTATACATCTAAAGATATATTAAGTTTAGGTACAAAACTGTAATTTGCTTAGTTGATGCTTAATTCCTTTTATGGTGATGTATTTAAGATCATAATTATTTATCTTTTTGGTATAAAAATGGAAAATATGAATTTGATACTTAGCCAAACATTCCATGTATAACTGTTGAAAATTCTAGCCCGGGTGAAACAGAAAAACTCTAGAGAGAAGAAAAAGAACTCGCTTCAATTTCACGCCCTCAAATCCCAAAGTGGAAAATCGCGATTTTCTAATAAGTAATAACCATTTAAATTTATTTTTAATTGGACTCGACATTGAGCTAAAAAAGTTAGTGGTTCATGGTTCAATTGTTAGTTTTCTAGCCTGTTGGTGAGTTGTGTATGGACCCGTTAATACTTGTGATTAGAATACATAAAAATAGTATACTAATTAGGGTTAGACAAAGAAGGCAAATAAAGAAATAAAGAAAGCGTTATGGTCTATGGAAGGTTAGTGAAAAATAAACGAAGAGGAAATAGACGATGGAAAGGTTTTGACCAATTCTTTTAGTTGACTGTCAATACAACAGTCAACCCTTTTCACCGTAGCAATTTATTGACACTTCCTTTTGAAGATGTCACATATTTTGTTACATGTAGTTAGTAAAAGTTTGTTTAGTTCTCGTATATGTATTAAATGAGTTTATAAATTCGCTCTTGTAAAATGGTCGAATCTTCTCCTAAAGTTGCGTTATACAATATCTTGTATTGTACTAACTAAATTTATACTTTATGTTATGGTGGATTGGATTCATGGATTGGTTCAAAAAAATTGGTGGATTGGATTCATTGATTCAAAAGAAATCTAAACATTGGACCAATATGTAAATTTAAAAAACTATAGGTATAAATATCTCATAAAATTTAGATATCAAAATATAAATTTCAATTATTTTATATTAAAATTAAATTTGGGGTATCAAAATGTAAAATGTACATTATAATTACTAAGTTGTAATTTAATTAAATTTGGGGTATCAAAATGTAAATTTGTAGGTAACAGTAACCTCACTTCAACTTTATATATGAACTAGGAAAAGACCCGCATCACGCTGCGGCCATGTATGAAAGAAATGATAAGCCCCATCACATTTTTAATATTGTGAAGCGCATTAGCCCCACCACACGCCCCACCCTAAGACGCTGCCATAACACCTCTTTTCCTCTATTTTTTGTTTTTATTTTCAATTCATAGACTTAGCTTTCTAGATCTCGCCATCGTCTCCCTCTGTTTCTCTCCTAAAACTGCGCTTCTTCGACTTCTTCTGCAGGTACAATCATCCATCTTCTTCAAAAAATTTGGTAATAGTCGGACTACAAAACCCAGAGCCTCACTCTGCAAATACAATCGATTCCCCTCTCCATTCTTTTCCTTCCTATTCGTTGTCTTCATAAATTTAAAAAATCAGATATGGAAACTTTTCCCCCATTCCCTTCTGCCCCTTCATTTTCGTTTTTTCCCGCTCTACCGATTTGAGAAAAAATTATGTGAAATGGTGTTATATTTCCTTGTGTGATTTTCTTTTTTATTCTTCTGTCCCAACCAAAAACAAAATCGGTGGATGAAACTTCAACCTTCTAATTAGTTTTACCTTGCATGCAGATCCTCCCACTTTCATGAACAATTTTAGTAACGGTCTGTTCAATCATTTTTTATTTCTCCAAACTGAATGGAAATTAGTTGCTCAGGATTGCAAAATCCCTCTTCTACTCTCTCCCCCTTGCTCTTCGTCAAACGTTTACAGATGGAACTCGAAAGGGGTTTTTCAATCAAAGAGGAGATTTCTGGTAGCTGGCCTGGCCTTGATTTCTAATTCTTTCTTGCATGCATAATCTTTCTTTTTTCAGTCTGTATAATTGGGTTGAAATCAGCAGAGCACAGCAAATGCCTCTCTCTGGAGCCTACATCATACTTTCATCGAAATCACCCTCCTCCTCACTGTCTACAATTCGTAGGCTTAAGCCCAATCCATTGCAAATCCGTAGCCCATGGACCTAAGCCCAATCAGAATAAAGCATGTAGATCACGCGCACTCACAAGAGAAAAATGAGAACATATGTTAATTTTTTTTTGCATCAGATGGAGGCTTTAGGCCGAGAAAGAATACAGAAGGAGATTATACATGGGGAGAAGAATTAGCCACAACAACACGGCGCTCAAAAGTGACACATTGCACGTCGTCCTGAAGCAACGGAGCAACACCAATGGGCGGGTCCACCAACTCATGCATCCCGTAGGGATAGACGAGACTGTGCTTCGAGAGCCAGTCCGCGACTCTATTTCCTTCGCGGTATGTATGAGATAGGCTGACCAGCCAATCCTGACTTAGCTTCCTGCGAATAAGGCCTAACAGAGTAGCATAGGGGTGGATGAGATCATGCCTGTTCTGGATCAATTGGATGGCTAGCTGAGAGTCTGAAGCCACCCGCACCAACCGGAAACCAAGTCTCCAAGTTAACTCGAGGCCATAGTAGATAGCCCACAGTTCAGCCAAAGCCGTCGTAGCAGTTCCAACGTTCGCCGCGAAGCCGCCTTTCCAATTCCCCAGACTTTCGCGGATGACTCCTCCTGCACCGGCCGCTCCGGGGTTGCCATTGGAAGCCCCGTCGGTGTTCAGCATGACCCATCCCTCCGCAGGTGGGTCCCAGCCGATGTTAGCGCTCACACGCTCGCCTTGCTGCTTCCTGTGATAAAAAACCAAACTCGGGGAATTCCATGAATCAAACCAAAGCTTACTCTTCACCAGGATTGAGTTCATGAGGGTGGGTGCGGACAAGGCAGCCCCAACTCCTTTAAAAGAAGCAACCGTGCGATTTTTCCATATCATCCAAATCGCCATACTGAAGAACGCCGACTACCCAATACCCGATGCCATGGAGTCTTTGCTCAAAATGTTGCTGCGCATCCACGCTTCTTGATTGGAGGTAAAAAAAGGCTTGCTGCCTTTCCTGCGGAACAGACCTGGTCCAAAAGTACCTCGCAGGGGCACAATCCCTCAATAAATGGAGGATTGATTCAATTTGCCCAGGGCACCGGAGGCAGCAAGGCGAGGCAGCACTCTTCCTGTGGAATCACAAATCATTAGTTGCAATCCTCCCCTGCATAGTGAGCCAAACGAAACCTCTTACTCGCTATGGGACCGTCAGCCTCCAAATAGCCTTCCAAATGTTATCCAAAGCTTGTTCTCCTTGCTTAGTCAGCAAACAATAGGCAGACTTAGTAGAGAACCTGCCATCTGCCGTCTCGGACCAGAACAGAGAATCTTCTTCTTGAGATAGCTTGTCCACCGCCGTACTCAGGATTTTGTTACAGATATCCGGACGCAGTAGGTCTTCAAAAAGCTCTGTACACCAGCTGCTATCGTCCCTAACAAAATCCGCCGTTGCTAGCTCCATGTTCCCTGGGATAGCTCCCGTGGCCTCCTCCTTAAGGGGTCCCTGCAAAACCCACGGGTCCAACCAAAAATTAGTCCGTTTCCCATTCTTAATATTCCACGCACATCCCTTCTTAAACAGATCAGCCGCTTTCAGCAAGCTATTCCAGGTGAAGGAACTTCCCTGACACTTCCGGAATATGTCTAGGCCTTGGCGTTTTCTTCCGTACTTGGAGTGGAGGATACGGGACCAGAGATTTTCCTTCTCCTTGAGCAACCGCCAGCAGCCTTTAGCAAGCATGGCTATGTTGGCTTGTCGCGTCGGTCTTAAACTTACTCCCCCTTGCTCCTTAGGCGTACTCAAAGTACCCAAGCAACGAGGTGCATCTTAGCTTTCTCCTCCTCATCACCCCAGATAAAGTCCCTGCTGATTTTGTCAATGCTCCTACACACACCGCTCGGGATCAGCTCGGTATGCATATTATACACAGGTAAAGAAGCAGTTACCGATTTAGCCACGGTGAGGCGAGCAGCAAAGGAGAGCCGTTTAACTTTCCAAGGAGTCATCTTCTTCTGAATGCGAAGCAGAAGTGACTGGTAGCGTCCTTTGGTAACTCGTTCATGAATCGCCTGTATCCCGAGGTATCTGCCAAGAGCTGCCTTGAGGGGAATCCCTGCACACGTGCTCAAGTCCTCTGCTATCC